GGCAGATTCATCATCATTATCATCATCATCATTTCATATGAAAGATATGAAAGGACAAAGGGACAGACAGAGTCCCAGAGACAGGATGACCTCCCCTAACTGTGGGCAAATCTCCTGATCTGATCTGATCAAACTGTTTCTAATGTGTCAACAGAAAATCATCTTAATGTAGAATCGATAAATTGATCTCCATCATCACCATCATCTACTACCAGTTTTTTTTTTCTCCTGATAACTCAATCAATAGGGTCTTTATCAGTCCCTGAGATCACAGTCTGGTCCAGACCTCAGTTACAGTAAAGGAAGTCAGGACCAGGATCTGGTCTTACAGTAAAGACTGAGATCATAGTCCGGTCCAGGTCTCTGGTCTCTGATGGAGTCCGGCCTCGTGGACTGTCTGTCTGTGTCTGAGCTTTATATACTGCACATGATGAGGAACTGGACTCCAGTCCTGAGAACAAAGACCAGGTCAATAATGTGAAGTGATCTGCCGGGTCTGAACACCTGGTCTGGGTCCAGTCATTGTTGAGGGGGAGTGTGCACTCTGGAGTATTTCCTGTGGAGGAAACAATAAGACAATAGCAGTGAGTGGCTCATGGATGGACAGTTTGGGGGGGGGGGGGGTCTGGTCTTTATGGTTAAATATGTTGAGACAAGATGTAAACAGTGAAACATCCAGTTGGCCATTTTTTTATATTGAAAAGTCTTAATTTACCCAGAATTCATTGCACCACAGTCAAGAACTGAAGTGTATCAGATGAACTGTTTGTTTATGAGTCAGTCTGTCTCAGAAACTATTTTTATGCTTTTTACAGTCCCATAAATAAACAACAGACTTTGATAAAGTTCATCAACAACTCGTCACTAAAATGAACTTTTACTTTTCAGTTTCTACTGAAGTGAAAACACTTCTCTGAGCACTGACTTCATAGATCAACAGATTCTAATATCTGGATTATTTTCAAAAACATAATAACCAATAAATAACATAACAAGTATTTATAAAGCAGCAGTGACTTTTATACTGAAACAAACCTACGGCTGTTCCTGTGTTCACGCTCTGCTGCTGCTTTTCTCTCAGTCAGTCAGAATAAAACTATATTCATTTTCTTTCAGGGAGAGTAAGTCATAAAGTCTGCATGAACACGCACGCACGCACGCACGCACGCACGCACGCACGCACGCACGCACGCTGTGATTCCATGTCTCTGAACAGTGACGTCTCTGCTGTGGACAGATCCCACTTTATCAAACACCTAAATACCACAGCTTCTTTCCCTGTTATGAAACACTTCCTGCTCATGCAGCAGCGCTGACCTCTGACCTCTTATCAGCTCAGCCTGTCTCTCATTGGTTATAAAACCAGCATTCAGAGACTGATGAATGGAAACCAGTCTCCTCCATTAAAGAATAAAATAACAAAAAACAAAGTGATAAAACCTCGAGACCTTTGTCGTTTCACATCGAGCGTGCTGATATTCCATCAGCCTTATTCACGCCCCCCCCGCCCACCTGTGTGTGTTACAACCACATCCATACAGAGGACCAGGGGGGGACAGAGGACCTGAGGACAGCAGATGATGAAGAAGAGACTGAGGAAGAGGAAGAGGAAGAGGAAGAAAACAGCCTCTGTTGCAGTTAAAGAACAGGAAAATGATGGTGAGCTTTTATTGTGAAAGGTTTTATTTCTCTACAGAGACCGTTTGTACATAAATATCAGAATTATAAATATCAGCTGGTACAAAATTAAAAAACAACTTATGGTACATTTTCTACAAGGAGCCACTTCAGGTCTGTCCATCGTCTTCAGACTGTCCATAACGTCCATTCACACAGGATCTGAGCTCCACATGCATCACATCACAGCGAGGACAGTCTGTGTCCGGGGGTGGGGGTGGGGGGCATGTGGCATTTGGACAACAGTGGACTGGGGGGGGGGAGGGGGGGGGGGCCAGTCTGTTAAGTTCTAAGCCTATGAAGGAGATTAGGATTATTGAGCTGCAGTGATGGGCATTTTGAAAGTTCTAACAGGGTTTATCTCACACACACACACACACCACAGCACACACACACACACCACACACACACACACACACACACACACACACACACACACACACACACACACACACACACACAAAAAATGGCACTGGGTGTGAATATCAAAATACTGTCCAGTGGTTAGTTTGTTCAGATCAGCTGGAGGTTAGGCTTTTATTGTGACACTGGTTATATACAGCTGTGGATGTACAGGAAGTGACCTCTGACCTCAGCCCAGCTCCTCCTCCTGAGTCATCTGCAATCAAACAACTTCCTGCTCCTGATGTCAGACATGGCTCTGCTGTTATGACTTCCTCTCAACGGTGTTACCTACAATTAGGTCCCCGCCTGTTTGACGATCTGGGGTTCAACTAAAGAATATGACGCCCCCCTATACAGCTGTGGATGTACAGGAAGTGACCTCTGACCTCAGCCCAGCTCCTCCTCCTGAGTCATCTGCAATCAAACAACTTCCTGCTCCTGATGTCAGACATGGCTCTGCTGTTATGACTTCCTCTCAACGGTGTTACCTACAATTAGGTCCCCGCCTGTTTGACGATCTGGGGTTCAACTAAAGAATATGACGCTAACACCGGTTGAGAGGAAGTCATAACAGCAGAGCCATGTCTGACATCAGGAGCAGGAAGTTGGTTTTGATTGCAGATGGACCTCAGGCAGGAGGAGCTGGGCTGAGGTCAGAGGTCACTTCCTGTACATCCACAGCTGTATATAACCAGTGTCACAATAAAAGCCTAACCTCCAGCTTGATCTGAACAAACTAACCACTGGACAGTTATTTTGACTATTCACACCCAGTGCCATTTTTTATGTTGTGTGTTGTGTGTGTGTGTGTGTGTGTGTGTGTGTGTTGTGTGTGTGTGTGTGTGTGTGTGTGCTGTGTGTGTGTGTGTGTGTGTGTGTGTGTGAGATAAACCCTGTTAGACTTTCAAAATGCCCATCACTGCAGCTCTAATATCCTAATCTCCTCTCATAGGCTTAGAACTTAAAGCTACGCCGCCCCCCCCCCCCCCCCCCCCCCCAGTCCAATGTTGTCCAAATGCCACAGTGCCCCCCACCCCCACCCCGGACACAGACTGTCCTCGCTGTGAGTGATGCATGTGGAGCTCAGATCCTGTGTGAATGGACGTTATGGACAGTCTGAAGACGATGGACAGACCTGAAGTGGCTCCTTGTATAAATGTACCATAAGTTGTTTTTAATTTTGTACCAGTCATGATATTTATAATTCTGATATTTATGTACAAACGGTCTCTGTAGAGAAATAAACTTTCACAATAAAAGCTCACCATCATTTCCTTGTTCTTAACTGCAACAGAGGCTGTTTTCTTCCTCTCCTCTTCCTCTCTTCAGTCTCTTCTTCATCATCTGCTGGTCCTCAGGTCCTCTGTCCCCCCTGGTCCTCTGTATGGATGTGGTTGTAACACACACAGGGTGGCGGGGGGGAGCTGTGAATCATAAGGCTATGGAATATCAGCACGCTCGATGTGAAACGACAAAGGTCTCGAGGTTTTATCACTTTGTTTTTTTGTTATGATTTTATTCTTTAATGGAGGAGACTGGTTTCCATTCATCAGTCTCTTGAATGCTGAGTTTTATAACCAAATGAGAGAACAGGCTGAGCTTGATAATGAGGTCAGAGGTCAGCGCTGCTGCATGAGCAGGAAGTGTTTCATAACAGGGAAAGAAGCTGTGGTATTTTGGTGTTTGATAAAGTGGGATCTGTACTATTCTCTCTCCCCTTG